CCTACTGAAGAAACAAGGCTTTATTTTCGCCACACAGCGTTGAAACGAGGGAGATTTTAACTGAAAACAACCGAATGCTGATGTTATTCACATATGCACTTCAAATTAGCAAAACAAACAGCATTGTTAATAACTGCCAACTACAATCCCTTTCTGTTTTTTTTTTTTTAAATATGTAGGCTGTATTAAAATTTCAGCAACCAGGGTTATGAGCAACAAAAAGTTGGACGTAAACCCTGCTGGAGGCCACAAACAAAATAAACAAAGTTTGGGTCACAAACAGGATTAGGGTTTAGAAATATTATCCAGAGAGTGCTTTTGGTGTTTAAAAAAAAAAGAAAAAAAAGAACAGGAACCCTGAAGACATGAGTTCCCCTCCTTCCTAAAGAAACACAAACACATCAAAATGCATCAAAATCTGCTGCATTGTTGCATCCATTATAGATCCCAGACTAGCAGAAAACAATAACTTCTGGACTGTTGATGAGACAAAATAGGCTGAACGTAACTTTACGAGGGCGACTCGGGTGAATCACTGAGTTAAAACAAAACACATGACCTATATACGGCTGAATTCTGTGAATATCAGGTGATGACAGTGTAACAAAGACAGTATTTACACAAAAAACCTACTCAAAGAAGTGAAGTCCAGTGTATTCCAGCCTCACGATGACACATTTCTGAAAGGAGGTTAACACAAACTGCACATCGGCTTCACAATGAAAGATTTCAAGCCCCTTAAAATCAATATATAGAGCTCCTCAGTATCATTAAATATTCATGACTACAAAATCTAAAGTTAAAGTCAGTGAGAAAAAAAAAATCTTAGTAATCAATTATTTAGAGTTCAACACTCAAACACTCCTACTTGCTAGGACCTTTAATTCAGGACTATTGTGTTGGGTTGCATTAAACGGTCCAGGTCTATCTCCGCATGAAAGTTTTTTAAAAAATCATCATATAGCCCCCCTTTTGAAGATTTGTCTTTTCATATGCTTGGAGAGCATTGTTGTTGTTCTGCTCCCGATGCTTGCGAGCCTGAAACACTTACAGGACACGATGTTTCCTGCAGCTCTCAGAGGGAACACCCGCAGAGAGAGCCCATCATGAGGCCATTTTGGCATTCGTAAGCATGATTGATGACACCGGGATGCAGACAGCGTTTGAGAAATCCCCTCCGCCGTGAGGAAAGTGATGATTGTTTGGATTTTTTTTTCCACAGTGATAGTGCCCCCCTCTGCTTCTCAGTAGGGCACGTTCACATTACATTACATGGCAGGAATGCGGGGCTCAAATATTGGTGCTACCGTACGCAAACACAAAATATATAACTCAATCCCCGAAGTCCAATTATCTGCAATTTTATCACAGATATTTTCATGTTGGCTGAGTGGAATGTAAAAGGCGGTAAACACACTGTAAAACCCTACAGAAAGCTTTGATCCCTCTCGGGACTTTGCTCCCAGATCTATTTCCACACGTGTGACTGACAGGAAGGTCACAATAATCTCACAATACATCACAGCAATAGGGAAGTATGCTGCAGGGGCTAACAAAGTCACTTGGCCATTCCTGCTGCAGGCACTCCCATTTTGCCCTTTTTAATCCTCTCCATCCCATTACATGACAGTGGAGAACCTGTGCACATTACACGCTTCAGCAGAGATCATTTGCCTCGTTGTGCTGGCAGCCAAAGATCACATAAAATATCAGCACCGTTATTTGTGTCCCACCTCCATCTCCTGACTGGCAGTAAACAGAGCTGGACGTCAAGTGATAGCACAGAATATGACATGCTAAGAAGTTCCATTGAATCCAGCAGTCTGCTGCATGAGTCACTTTCCATATCTTGTCTCAGACGTTGGGTAATCCACCGAGTGGAAACTGAGACAGCAGGGGCAAGACCGAGTGCAGCTCTGATCCTTAACAAGAGCAATGAGGACGTGGATTTAAGAGGCAAAAAAAATATAATGAATTTGTTTCTCGTCGCATAACTAAAGTCTACTGTGGGGAGGGGAGATTGGCATTTTTAGATGAGGAGACACTCAAGGGACTTTTAGAGCGATCCACAAGTTCATCCTCCTGCGGTTTAAAAATGCCTTCACCATGTAGCTGCTGACAGCTCCCAGCCCGGTCCGGTCAGCAGGCAAGAAGCCTCGCCTAAGTCTTGTGGAATTACTGTTCCACCTGAGCCTTTAGGCTTTGGATCATAACAACATTTCTGTCAATAACACCGACTCCAATGCTGTCATTCCACCTGACCTGATTCCTCTGTTTCTCCAAACACAACAGCAGAAATCTGGGATACTAAGCTTTTCATTTTAAGCTACATATAAAAAAATAAAAACATTTTGTAGCTGTGGTTGAGCATTTTAAGTAGAGCTGAGCACAGTACTGTCACAATAGTAGATGATGAGTTACTCATACTGCGGCTAAAAATCTTGCAAAAAGTTTTCTTTTTATAAACTGCTAAATCACAAAAATGTAAATATCTGAGTTCAATGACGATATAAAGCAGATTGTCTTCTGTGGTAAACTTTACCTTCCAGTCAAAACAACGTGGCGCACATGCAGCTTGATACGTGAAATCAAATGCATTCTGACTAATCTGACGTCTTGCATAGTCTCTAATAGCGTCTTACATCAAAAGCAGCAGGACCACACATTCATCTGTCACCGCAATTTGATGTTCAACGCTCTCTCTATCAGACAATGACAAGACATTTCAAGGGGACTTAACAAGAATTCACAGTATGCAGAAGCAATGAAAGCAGCATTTGTCGAGGTGGACCAGTAACATGAAGGTTGACAGTTCTTCCCAAATCGTGGCTGAGTTAATAGAGTGTGATGGCAGCTGCGAGGCTGACAGAAACACTAAGCTATACGGGAAAGCTTTTGGAGCTACTCAACACCGAGTCCCACAAGGATCCACTAATCTACAAGTGCTGCAATATTAACTCCAAAATGTTGTCGTCACTTAAGACGCTCTCCATCTGCCACTTGGACTCTCCTGTGCCTCCTCCTAAACAGCTTCTAAACATATTAGAAAGCACGACACATGAAAATAATGAACGTGAAATTGACACTAATCTGTGTGCGCGGGGTTCATGTTGTTGGTAGTCTGTCGGTTAAATCCCAAAATCATAAACAAGAATGCCATGTTCCTCATTGACTGAGCAGTAATTCTGCTTCATTTGGGTTTTAGGAAGCAAAAGTTTTCTGTGATGATTCAAAGCAACTGTCAGATTTATCCCCAAATTCAACTATTTAACCAAAGAAACTACTCTATGTATAACTGGTTCAGTGGAAAAAGCACAAAAAAGTAATGCAACCATGAGTCAAACTTCCATGAGTATCTAGTACAGATGGGAAGATTTGTACCTCTGCTTCTGATACTTGACACAACATTCAGCGGATACACTTTTAAGTGCTAAAACAGCTTCAAAAGAGAAGGAGTTCCCCCTTTTCACTCAAAGATTTTTTTTTGCCTTAGTTTAAATGTTGTTTGCTCGAGTGAGAGGCGATAAGTCGCGAGCCTGAAGGGCATGTCCATCACCGTGTGAATTTGCTGAGTTGTTGATAACGCGTCGTCTCTCCGGAGGACACGTAAGGTTATGACTCATCCAAAGACCAGATCAAAAGACGTTTATTTGGGGTGACATCGATCAGAGATGAGAGAGAGATTGAATTTTTTTTCGCTCATTTGGGGGATTAGTCGTGATGTCAGAGACGCCGATCCGAACCGATTTCGTCACTTAGTTATTCAACCTGTCTGCGAACAGGTGTGCCTGTTATCAAATATGCGGCCTTTTACGCGTGCCAGATTTGCTGCTTCATGAATGGAATCGTTGGCTCTGAACAATGGCGACCTGGAGAGAACTCAACAGGGGGTGATTTAAAAAAACAAAAAAACCAAAACAAACACACCGCTTATCCTGAATTACTTTAATAAGCTTGAAAACGACTCCTTTAATTGCTTTTTGTATGTCTAAAACAGTGTTGTGACACTTTAACTTGTGATTTGATGATGATAAATGAGCATCTATCTGCATCCACATACAGAAAACGATGCTTTTTATTTAAATGCAATCCTGCAGTCGAGTTCAACTAAACCTAATTAAATCAGTAGTTTGTATGCATGTGGAGGTGCACTTGGTCTTACCTTACTCTGTGAGGTGTTTAAGATAATTGCTCACTAGGGTTGTGACTGAAAACATGTGTGCCTCCTGGACATGGACTACTGCTGCTGTTGCTGCTGCTGCTGAACTGAAGCATTGCAAAGGAGCCAGCAGCTGCACTTTATCTTATCACCTAATTTTCGCAGGACAGGAGCTAATCTGCAGAGCTGACCACTCATTATCTCTGCTTGGTTAACACAGTCGGAGACCTCTACTGGACACACACACAGCAGCAGCAGCAGCAGCAGCAGATCTCGCCACAGCTGTCTGGGAGACACTGTTCACATTCAGCGTCGATGCCGGCTGATGGGATATCATCACCACAGCATGAATACATATAAAAATATCAAAGGTTTAAACTGATAGGGTGCTTCAGGCTTTTGGAATTTGTGCTCCAGCAGGCCTCAGTGGTGCAAGACTGTGTGGATGCAGGGCTCCAGTTATTGATCACTGTTAATTATGTTTAAAACAAACCCAAAAAATAATGTTAACTTTGGTGAGTCACTGCAACTCCATGAGTGACAGGTGGTTGAGGTTGCCATAACCGGTTAATATGATGGGGTTTTTGGTGTGCAGTTGCAGACTGGTGTCCCTCTGCAGCATTAAAAAAAAAAAAAAACCTACAGTAATGTGAATGACTTTGCATTATAAATGAGTTGCAGAAAAAAAGGACAGATTTGGATTTTTAACTTTTTTTTTTTCTACAACGTTTTATACTGATGCCACAAAAGTGAGTGCATACCCCAACCATCAACCCACCATGTATTCGTGTGTTTGGCAGGTCGTGATCCTGCTGACACTCAGTCCAAAAAAAACCCTTACCTGGGATCTCCTGGTGAGGAACATGTGCGAAGCTGAAGCCTTTCCCGACGCAAGCCTCCCTCACCTCGCTGCAATTCCGAGCCTTGAAATCTGCTCTGGCGGCCACAGACAGCACGGAAAAAGTGCAAAGGATGGTCTCTAGTCTGAGCATTGTTCACTTCTGTAAAGATCCTTATTGTTTCTCTGCAGTATCCCGCTTGCTGGCACCAAAAAAAACGGGAAGGAAAAAAAATAATAATAAAAAAAAAAAAGAAAAGAAGAAAGAAAAAAAAAATAAAGAAAAACTCCCCCCTGCAGCAGATCCGCAGGTACTTAATGACTGCTGCTTTAATGGTTGCAAGTCAACTATTAATGTCAAGCCGATCGGGGTTTATATCGCAGCCGAAAACAGTGGAAAGTCCCCCCGGCGGCGCAGAGAAGAGGGCTGCTGCGCGTATGGAGGTGCCACATGAATCCACCAGGCAGCGCGTTTTTTCTGTTTTTTTCTAAACCGGCGTGCGTTGACTCAACTTCGCTCAGCACACGAAGCCCACGGTGAGCTGTGTTGGAGTGTGGAAATGCTCTGTGGAAGAGGGGAAAGCGCTCCGTGTTTCAGATCAGATGCACCGGCAAGGGGCGAAGCGGGAGACAAAATATGGAGTGGAATCCAAAGCAGCCTCATCCATTCCAAGCAAGACGGGGGGTGCTCGCAGGTCGGGCACCTCCCCCGGAGATGTGGTGCAAATAAATATATAAGAGGATGCATAAGAGGAGGAGGCAGATGCTATAGGATAGAGTAATAAAAAGAGCTGCCAGTGTTGGAAAGGAGCAACTCTACTCGCGGTGCGCAGAACGTTGCTGCTTTACGCGGAGCTCCTCAACTGTTACGATTCATCTCCTTGTAGGAACATTTGGAGAGAATAGTAAGTGTAAAAATGTGTCACACAGCCAACAAGATATATATTTTAAAATTCTAAAATATGCTCTGTTCCACTTTGATTGTATATTTCTATATTTGGATCATTTATTGGTACCCTTCCATTAAGGCTGATGCTTTTAAATGAAGAGAAATCCAACACGCTGACACATTTTCACCACATTCATGCCACAGAAAAAGCAAAATAGCAGTAGTGCAGTGTCAAGCTGTTTAATTCGGGGATGTAAAGGATGTGATGAAGACCAGAAGGCAAGCTTTCACAGCTTTATTGATTTTGGAACAGCTTGATCCCTGGGTAGATCAACAGTGGATTAACATGGCTGCCATCACTGTGCAAAGGATTCCTATTGGTATGGGTTACTACATTTTCAAAGTACTTTATAGTGACATTGTTGCAGCGGCTAACACGCCACTGAAAGATTTTGGATCAAATACCCAAATCTGGGTTTTAGGGGCTGTGGTGGTGCATGTTCTCCTTGTCTGTGTTGCACCTTTTATGTGCTCATATTGCACTGACTGTATTCATTTGTATTCATGCTAGTTGGTTTGATGTTTAGTTGTGTCTCCCTCAGAGGTCACCGTCACATTAAAATCCCTGTTGGTTACAGGATGGGGGGGACTGCAATTTGAGAAAACACATTCCACCGAGCTCTACTGTATATAAGTCAGGTGTGTCAGATGATTGCAGCATGTCTTGTACATGACGTGCTTGCAAACAGCGGTCACTCTCCACTGTTCTCTTCATGAATTCTCCGCTCTTTCTTTTACACGGAGACTTTTTGACCCGGACGTGTCACTTTTAATTAACGTATCCAACTTTGAAACCCAGGGGAGGGTTTCATCCAAATGAAATTTTTCAATACAATGAAAAATTAATTTCACGGGAAATTCTCAGCTAAGACAGCTGTCAGGTTTCCTAACTAGAGTGTAAAAAAAAAAAAAACCTGCACTGAAACGTGCTTTTGTTCTGCAACTTACTCCAGTTTTTTTTTCTTTCTGGGGATCCCAGAGATTCCCAGACATACCAGTGATGCACTACAGTCCTTCCTGTGTGTTCTGTGTATAACGGGGTCTTGTTCCAGTTGATCATTCTGAGCACAACTCCGAAGGAAAACGTTAAAAACAAACTTTAAAAAAAATACTGCAGTTTAAAGACAGGCAGATTGAAGATGCACTAACATTTGAGTTTTATTATCTTGGCAAACCCACAGACATTACTTGTCAAAACAGTAAACACTGAATGCACCAAGGTGGCAAAAATGTGACTTTGGCACGCTGTCACACTCGCAGTACCGAGAGCGGCAAATAGAACTTAATAGAAGAAAAATACTCTGAGCTGTGAAACTGTCAGTACTTAAAATGAAAACATTATTAGGTGAAGGCACCTTAAGAACAGCCACTCATGTCTCTGCAAATAAAAGAAACAGCACGTACAACGACGCAATCCTGGCGATTAAATAGTTCAAACATTCTTTCAGAACTTCATTCTGGCCGGTAACCTTTACGCCTGGCACAAATACGAATGAATTCCTCAGACAGTGACTGTGCAAGCGACAGCTGCCCGAGCAGCACCTTGGAGAGCGCCAAATTCCTTCCCAATGTACCTGGACGGTCGCTTCTGGTTTTCTTTCGACGTGGAAAAGCAATCACACGGCCTTATAGCAGAACTTCTCAGAGAGTGAACAACCACCTGCGCAGACTCCCTCTTTGGCAGTTTGTATTTGAAGACTTGTTCTTTTGGTCGTCAGCCAAAGCTTGAGATTTTTAGGTGGCGCTCATAACCAAAATAAACGACTAAATGAAGCGGGTTTGTGGCTGTTTCAACCTGGTCCAGGGTGCATTAATGCAGCGGGTAAATGCTCACTGTGAGTCAGCTGATGATCGGTTTTCAAGTTAATGTTGGTGGGTACTAAACACAAGTTATACGCTATTGAACAAAATTAGGAAGCAATATTTTTTTGGACACATCATAACGTAAGAGACCCTGGATATTGTCACATCTGGAACAATTAATTGGAAGAGAGGACGAGGTAGACAGAGAATGAAAATGATAGACAGACTGACATCATGGCTACACATGGAACGGGCAACAGTCACAATTCAGAGAGCAAAAGATCGGATGGATTAGGATTAGATGGAGCGAAATGATCACCTACGCTGAATGGCATGGCACTTGATTGATTGATTGAATAAAGGAGAGGTTGGTTTAAGCACTGATGACTGGGTGGGATCATCTGTTCATGTGCATTGGATTTTAGCCTACGCTTTACAGACTTCTGTGTTGTATTTCATCAATTTTATAGTTTTATTTTCAATCAAGGCTTTCTGTGTTGCACCTATTTCCATTTTTACCCCAACACGTACCAGCCAAGATCAGCTACAATAAATATATTTCAATCATGTGTGTATTCGTGGTGTGTAGGTTTGTGAACTGACTTTCTTATTTTTGCTACAGTTGTTAGTCCGTTTTATCCCGTTTCTGTGTTTGTGCCGTTGGTTAGATGAGAAGAGCAACATAAATCATGATCAAGAATGTGGTCAGCTAAGGTAAGACTGGAACAAAACAGCTCTGACTGTGTAATAAGAGTTGAGAAATAGACAAGTGATTTTTCCTCAGAGGGCCTCAGAGGGATTTATGTTTTCAGATGGAAAATGAAAATTGATATGGAGACTGTGGATAAACTGTCAAACTCAGGTGAAATAATTTCTGACTGACCTGACCTGCATCCTAATGGGTTTTGATTTTTCCTCTACACCTACACAAAGTCTGTTCTCGCTCCTCATACGGATGAAAAATAGAAAGTCTGTGTTTATTCCAGGTCAGAACCAAGGTGTCAGAATCAGAGCGATGACGTCATGACCTAATGACACCAGAAGGATGATGTCATCTGCACAAAAACAAACTGGCTAGACGCTGTGTCCGCAAATATCACCGACGGGAAAAGAAGGGTGAAGCACAGCTTGTATGGATTTCGTATCAAATATGCGGCAAGCGTGGGACATGCTTGAATTAATCTCAAAAATATGAATGCAGATATCCCCCAGTGTACGGGACTAAATGGCTCATAGCAACTACCACAACAAACAACGAGTTGTTCTGTACCTGAAGTCGTATCCCCACGATGAAAACACTTTATTCAAACAACACAAACCTTTGCACTTCTTTACATTTGCCAGAAAAGGCAGAAACAACTTACCTGCTACAACCCCCACATTCCTTATTGTCAGTATTTTGTGTCATATATGAGTGTCATGGAACAAATGACACCAGATGAGGCCGCACAACAGCGAGAAGTCTCACGCCAAGAATGTAAACAGGAGTTATTAAAGGCATGCACAGTGCTACAAATCTCCCTGTGAGGACAGTCTCATCATTACACGTTTGAGCATGTCAGATCTGTTTACCGGCCCCCTTTTGCAATATGATTCAGCTCGCCATCGGAGCAGCTGATAGCTCAGTTTCCCCACTACAGAAGGTCTAATAATATGGTCTCAGATCTGATCAAAGAAAAATACACATGTAGATAAATGACAAACTGCCCACGGTGCTCTGCTAACGTGCACGCTTTGGACGGTTTTAACGTTCTGTTTTTATGAGTCACGCAATCACTTCTTTGCAATCCCACCCACCTGGGTGACGCAGTTGTGTGATTATTGCTGATTGTCTGATGTGATTATGGGGTTGGTTGGACTGTAAATAAATATGGAAAAAGCCTTAAGTAGGTGTGTGCAGATATAGTGGCTATGTGAGTGTCGAATAGGGTTTGGCTCAAGCCACTGGCGCACTAATAAACCGGGGAAATTGTGCTGTTTTTTACCATTTTGCATTAGCCAGTAATACAATTATGAACAGCAATCAGGGCCAAGTCAAAATCAAAACATTTACATGGGCTACATACAGGAATGTTCCACTGGTAATCCTGGATACATGCTATGGTTGGTTGACAACCTCTATTTGCATTTTAAATGCTGCCATAGCAGTATATAATCCCGTGGCTATTATTTTGCAAATATTGAGATAAATGACTTCTATCAGCTATTTATTTCAGCCAAAAGAAACAAACATAGATGGTTTCCCAGAGAAATATATGCAGTTTGGTAGCCGAGCCGGAACAGAAAGTTTGCCTGGAGTCTATTGGAGGTGGGACAAAAAAAACATCCGTATCATAATTTTTTTTTTGGTGACATGGTTTTATGCGATAGGTGACACCAGCGCTGTAATATATTCTGCTGCGATGCTAAGGCCGAGGTGTACCTTTCTTCCCTGCTGATATTCAAGCCAGTTTATCACTGTATCACAATGACATTTA